CTAATTGAAAAAAAAAATTAATAGCATTAGTTTAAGGAATTATATCACTTATATAACAATATAATTATCAACAATTATCTTATAAGTTTCTCGAATCAATCTTCCCACTCACTCCCATGCTTCAACTTCTCCTTCCAATCTGAAAAATTTATATATGCTTCTTCTCCTTCCAATTCGAAATTTATATATTTTGAGTCCTGAATGAGTACAACTTTGCATTAAGGCTGTGAACCAAGCCAAATATTGCTTTGTAACCTTATTTAATTTTAACATGTAGGGAGTCTCTGTCACTCCTTTATATATATATATTTATATATATATAATATTTTATTAATTTACTTAATAAAACTTTTCATTAAACATTTTTTGTTACTTACCTTTGTAACTGGTCGGCTGCCCCACCAGCACACACGAAGGTCCTTTTCTTCCTCCAGCCTCCGCTCAACCAAGCACGGCGCGGTCTTCTCCTTCCCTCTTTTCATCTGAAAGGGAATCGAGTTCCTCTTCCTTCATGCAGCTAAACACGGAATCTCGACTTCAACACTGCAAGTACACACACGACGCCGCTTTCTCCTACCGTGAGTACAACGTTGTTGCCTCCTACAGCTAGGGTTTCATGTCATATCTCAGGTACAAGAACACACGTGACTCCTCTTATTCCTCCTCTTCTTCTCCTCTGCTTCACTCACAGACAAGCCGCAAACTAGGGTTGGAAATGACCCCTCTTCCCTCCTTCCTTCTCCTCTGTGACTTTGTTTCTTCTAATAACCAAAACACTTGAAGATTATGCTTCGATTTGATTATTATTATTAATATCATTATTTTTAGTTATTAAAAAATACGCATTAAAAGAATAAAAATTTCAACCTTTTCTAGTCGCTTCTTCTCCACATAATATCAGAGTGATTAAGATCCTATTTTTAACCATTGTTCTTATCTTTCATTCTTCTAGATGCCAAGCACAATTTCTTTGATTTTCCTTCCAAGAAGTCAATCAGCATGAATACTAAAAATAAGATAAAACAAAAGCTCCATTGACTACATGTTTGTCACCAACAGGCCCATAGACTTGGAATTAATAATGAGAGAACAAAACATCAAATGATGAAATTAATCAAAATTTTAGTTTCAACCACTAACAAATAAAATGATCATCCTAATGAATTGAAAAGCTACTAACAAAAGTAGCTTAAATTAACATAAAACAACACGACTCTACTCTACTTATTCCAGGTACAAGAAGGCGCGACTCCTCTTATCCCTCCTCTTCTTCTCCTCTGCTTAACTCACATACAAGCCGCAAACAAGAACTAGAAATGACCCCTCCTCCCTCCTTTCTTATCCTCTGTGGCTTTGTTTCTTCAAATAACCAAACCACTTGATGATAACGCATCGGTTTGATTATTATTATTATTATTATTATCATTAGTTTTAGTTATTACAAAATACCCATTAAAAGAATAAAAAAATTCAACCTTTCCTAGTCGCTTGCTCTCCACATAGTATCATAGTGCGATTAAGATCCTATAACCATTGTTCTTATCTTTTATTCTTCTTTATTTCATGCACAATTTCTTTGATGTTCCTTCCAAGAAGTCAATCAGCATGAATAGTAAAAATAAGATAAAACAAAAGCTCCATGGACCAGGCCCATGGACTTGGAATTAATAATAAAAGAACAAACTAATAAAAATTTTAGTTTCAACCACTAATAAATAAAATGATCATCCTAATGAATTGAAAAGCTACTCACAAAAGTAGCTTAAATTAACATAAAACAATACAATAATGATATTACTTTTTTTCTATGTTAGTATTGTCCTCTATACATATTGTCACTTCTTTCACAAATTTTTTAATCTCAATCTTAAACCAAAATATTAGTAGTTTAAAATATGATGCGCAATCAACCTGCCAGTAAATACTTATAGTTTTAAGTTGCAATTTTCAATCAGGAAAGATGGAAATCAGACAGTTAAATTAGGAGTTTTCTATAATTAGGAGTTTCTTTATTTAAATTATTTCCAATATCTTTATGATGATTTATTTTCCTTTTAGCTGAATATTTAAATTAGGAATAATATTTAATGAATATTTAAATTAGGAATATGTATTATTAAGTTACCAAAAATAGATTATACAGAATATTTTCTACCTAAAATAGATTGTAAGATTATTATTTAATGGAATGAAAACAATGGGAAAAGGCATCGAGCATTTTCATTATTCAGCCTATTTTTCTCAACTTTGACATGATATCAGAGTCCAATTTTTGTCCTAACCACCGATAATTTTTGAAATACCGTCAAGGCTCTCTTACCGTCGGACTTCTTGTAGAACGGGAAGGGAGGAAATATTTCTTTGCCTTGATTTTCACTCGTCTGTTCTTTGTCTCATTATTTCTTCAAATCTCCTTCGCTAGCCATCGCTACTTCTGTGGCAACTTCGACCGCTTCTTCCACTTCGGTTTCATCCGCTTTGACTTCTGCTTCTTTGTCGCACTCAAGGATTGAAGGCTACGACACTCCTTCATAGACCGACGACTTTGGCAAACCCTAGATTTTCGGATTCGGCAATCTCGATGTCGGCACTCACGGCATCGACATCTCAGCTTCAACAGTTTTGGCATGAAGACCAGGAAACAAATCGTCCTCGTCTTCGCAAGAAGAATCAATAGCATTTGGATTGTTTGGCAGGGCGTGGATCCTAATTGTGGGCTATGATCAGTAGCATTTGGATTAGGATGCGGATCCTACTTGTAGGCTATAACCGATAGCATCTAGATCATGTAACTGGATCCTATTTGTGGACTATGATCGGTAGCATTTGGATCGGGATGCTGATCCTACTTGTAACCTATGATCGATAGCATTTGGATTGTGTAACTGGATCCTATTTGTGGGCTATGATAGGTAACATTTGGATCAGGATGTGGATCCTACTTGTAGGCTATGATAGATAGCATCTGGATCGTTGAACTGGATCTTAATTGTGGGCTATGATCGGTAGCATTAGGATCGTGTAACTGGAAGCGAATCCTTCTTATGGCTATGATTCGAATTTCTGGGCGATAATGATAAAGGATTTCTTGCTTTTCTTTGCTCAAATCATGTTATGGTTCAGAAGTTGTCTCTAAGGCTTCAACATTTTTGGCTTCGACACTCACGGTTTGAGGATTTTTGCTCCCGACAGTGTTATTAGTTTCTTGTTGGCAAATTGATGTTTCCTGATCAGTCGACATCAATTTGAGGAGGGATGTCAATCAGGAAAAACGAAAATCAGGCAGCTAAATTAGGAGTTTTCTATAATTAGGAGCTTCCTTAATTTTTTTTCAGTATCTTTATTGAGATTTATATTCTATTTAGCTGAATATTTAGATTAGGAATATGTATTATTAAGTTACTTAAAATATATTATACATAATAATAGATTATAAGATTATTATTTAATGGAATGAAAGCAAAGGGAAAAGGCATCGAACCTAGTCAGTATTCAGTCTATTTTTCTCAAAACTTCGACAACAATAATGTAACTGAAAATAAAATATGTATGCTAATTAAAAGCAATGAATCAAAATAAAAAATAAAACATTTTATTATTCAATTATGATCATTCGGAGAAGTTCAGAGCATTTTATCATATAATATAATATCTTATTTTATCTATATATTATTTACATTCATCGCACATGGCAAGCATACTACTAACATATATCAATATCAATATCTATTTCATTTTACGTCCAAAGATACCTTGGCATCTCCAACTATAGTAACATAAAGAGATGATATTCATCAATCTATCAAACACAAGCAAGCATACATTTTATCTGTCCTTTCATAACAGTAAATGTACTTGCATAGTAATAAATTTCTACAATAAATAATTTAAACAATGCTAAGTGTATACATCCATTCATTTAATATGATAAAACATTTAGTAAAATTAGGTAAATCATAAATTTGCAGCGATAATCAATCTAACAAGTTCATTAATATTAATTTTGTTAACTTTTGAAGAAGGAATAATATTATAGCTTAGAAACATAAATACTCACTATAGTTGAAAGATTTGCATTCAACATTTCATTCTTTGGTCAATTGTATTTTAAAAATTTTAAATTTTACAAATCGACACCATGTTAAATTATTTCTTCTAAATCATGTACATTTATCTCCTCTCATGATTTATTGATCTTTTTTACTTTGTGATATTGAAAATTTTCATTTCTATCTTTATACAAATTCTTATGTGAATTATCTAATATAACTGTTTTATTTAATTAGTATTTTTCATAGTAATATTCTCAAAAATTTATTTTACTCAAAAGATTATAGTATCCAATGTCCAATTAATTTCTGCTTTTATTTAAATCCTTACAGATTTTAATTCAATATTCTAAATATATATTCAATTCTCACTCAAATTTATTCATAACATAATTCTATCTTTAAGTAATAAATTAATCATCATAATTAGATTATTATCATTTTTAATTCCATTACAATTATCTAAAATCATTGATTTTAAAAAAATATAAATCCACAAAATCTAATCATTGTGATTACTATAAACAAATGATAATAAATTTAACAGAAAAATCTCATTATTAGTATTTTTCACATAACTTATATCCTACCATAAACCTCCTAAGAAATAATGACTGACCAGGAAAATAAAGTTCAAAGCTAGGACACGGTTTAATAATTTCAAAGATTCTTCAATTGCTATAAACGAAAATGTTTTAACAATTTACAAAATATTTTGCCGAGCGCCGATATAAGTAATGAAATTTACATCATAACCAGAATGTATCTAGTTCAGCAAGTACCTAGAAGTAATTTAAACAAGAAACTGAAGACCTTCCTTCACGTTAGGCCACATGCTAAGTATGTCCAAATCAATGTAGATGCTTTACCTCTGAATAATTATGAGTTCATTTGCTTTTCGTACAGTTGAGCATTCCCTGACTTAATTAATTTATTTGGTGTCTGCTCCAGATCTGGCAAAGGGAAGCAACAAGCTTACGGCAGCAATTGCATAACTTGCAAGAAAAGCATCGGTAACATCTCTTCACCCTTTAGAACATCAAGAATAAAATACAAAATGTCATAGAAATAGAACATAAAAATTACTAGCATGCATTTTAAAATTCGTTACTCTTATTAAAGATGTAACTAGCAAACTATAGTTTATTTAATGGAATAAAAGACTGTAGTCCTCCAACTACTTATATGTGGTCAATTCAGTCTCAAGGTGTCACTAATACTAGAGTTAACCTAAATCACACATGAGAAAATAAATAATACTACTAAAACAAATAAACAATTACAACAAACACACTTGAAAGGGGAAATAAAACACACGCGACATGCAAACGGCAGCTCCCGGGTGATGATAGTGATTGTTAAGAGGTTGGATGCGGTCGCGGCGAGGTTAAGAAGGGTGTTTCCAGGCTATGATAGAGGAGTAACAGCAATTATGGGTGGCTGGAATGGCCAAACAGCAAGGGACAGCAGTCCAAACCGCAGCTATTTGCTGTTTAGGGCAGCTGGAAGGCGGGAAGAAGCAAGGGGAGGCTGACCGGGTTGCTGGAACAGCAAAAAACAGGCCGGAATGGCTGTTTCCGAGCGGCTGCAGTGAGCAGGATTGGCGGCGGCGGCAACGGTTAAGGCATGGGACTGCGGGACTGCCAAAAAAGGACCGTCCAGAGGCTGCGATAATGAAAAGAATGGCAGGACAGCAAGGAGCTGCAAGGAGATAGCAACTGGACTCTTGTCGGGGCGGCCTGCAGCGATGGGGAGAGATGCAGATAAGTTAGGGAAA